CGAGCACATGTGCCCTATAGCAAAAATAAAACCTCTCAAAAAAAAAAAAAAAGTAGGAATATGGGCCAGCAGGGGCTGTAGTGGTCAAGGTGTAGTGGTCATGGCAAATGTGGACCTGGTTGTCTATGCATGCGTGCTCCAGGAGGAGAATGGAGGAGAAAAGATTGCACCATGACCATCCCTCCTGGAAGGTGATTTCTTGCTTTCTCTCTCACTGTCTGTCTGTCTGTCTCTCCCACGCATACCCCTTGCAAGAACACACACCCTGTGGGGAGAAAAACTAGGAAACTTGAAAATGGGAGAGTAGGTAGAGCTGAATAGGTAAGATATGTGTGAAGGAAGAGACATCACAAACAAAAAATAATCATCAACTATGGTACCCCACACTGGTAGTCCAGTGAAGAAAAAGATTTTTAAAAATCTTCTTTTGCTCACACATATTTATCAGATAGACTCCTCAGAATCATTTACTGAGGATGAACAAGATCTGTACTATTGGGATTAGTTTTGAATAATGTAAAGTGTCGAAGTCTTAGCCAGACAGAACTGGGTTCCAAACCCAGCTCTGCCATTTACCATTGAGGTGGCCTTGAGCAATTTCTTTAACCTCTCTAAGTCCCAGGTTCCCACGCGTAAGACATCAATGATAATATCTATCTCATAAGGTTATCTTGAGAGCTCAATGAAATAATTTACATAAAGTACTTATTACATTGCTTCCAACTACCAAGTATTCAATAAACATCTCTCTTACCACACCTTGGCTAGGGTATGAATCAAACAGGCATAAAAATGCAACTGTAGGGGCCAGCAGGTGACATGATGGTTAAGGTGCTGGAGTTCCACATGACCAACCAGAGTTCGCATCCCAGACCTGGAGGCTAGAAAATCATGAAGAAGAAGGGACTGTGCCATGGCCAGCCCTCCTGATGGGAGATGGGGGTGTGATTTCTCCTCTTCCTCTTCTCAGTCTCTCTTGAGCAAGCACACATCCCTATAGCAACCTCTCCCCCTCAAAAAAAAAAAAAAAAGAAAGAAAGAAAAGAAAAGAAAAGAAGAGAAATAGAGTTGCTTTTTTTTTTTTTTTAAGATTTTTGCCATAGGGCACAAGTGCTCACTGGAGAAAGACACAGAAAAGGGAAAATGAGCAATCACCTGGCCATGCCACAATTCCTTCTCCTCCATTCTGCTCTCAGAATTTGGGGTATAAGTGAGCTATGGTTTATTTGGGCCTTACACAGATTGAAGATAAAATGAAGAATATGACGGTGTGCCTCTAGACATGTAGGTAATAGTAAGAAATACGATTAATATGTAGTAAGTTGGATGGTGAAAAATAGAGGAAATAAAATGGAAGAGACAGGATACTGGGAACTAAGCCGGGGAGTTTAGGCTTTATGTAATAAGAAAAAAGTAAAAGGGGCAGTATAGTTTCTAGAACCAAGACACGTGTAATGATGAAAGCAGAGAAGATGAAGGCAGTAAGGCTGTGGATAAAGAAGGGTAAAGAGCACTTGGAAATGGGCCAGTGCATGGTGTGGTTAGGGCGGCTGGATTTCACATGGCCCACTCCACAGTTCGAGTCCCAGACATGGTGGCTTAGAAAACATGCTGGGGATGCGTGCATGTGTCCCTAAGTCCCAAGAAAATGGGCATTGTGGCATGGCATCACCCCTGGAAAGCCTTTCTCATTTCCCATTCTCTCCGTCTGTCTCTCTCTCTCTCTCTCTCTCTGTGTCTGTCTCTGTCTCTCTCCAGCAAGCACATGCATCCTAAAGCAAAATTAAAAAAAAAAAAACTACATATAAAAAAAAATACCTGAGGACTAGCAGTTGGCATAATGCCTATGTTGCTAGACTCCCATGTAGTAGATCACAGTTCGAGTCCCAGACCCGGTGACAAACTCACGTCGGGTGCATGTGCGTGCGTGCCAAGATCCCAAGAGGAGAATGGAGGAGAAGGGATTGTGGTGTGGCCCCTGGGGGGGGGGATGATTTCTCACTTTCTGTCTCTCTGTTTCTCTGTCTCTCTCTGTCTTTCTGGCAAGCGCACACGCCCAATAGCAAAACCTCTCAAAAAAAAAAAACCCTGGAAGGCAATTTAATTAATACAGTTATGGTTTGTTGTATGTCTAGACTATGATGTCTTTAGATGTCAACTGTCAAGATATAAATGTGACATTTCATGAGTGTGATCAGTGATATTTAAATAATAATATAGCTGACAAATATAATGCAGGTGACAGGGAAGATGATAAATAAATCATTTTAAAGTGAGCAATATTTATTTTGTGCCATCTATATACCAAATATAATGTGCCATTAGATAATGTTTTTGTGCATATGTATCTCTACATTATGTACATTATGTTTTATTCAGTAGCTATTTCCTAGTGATTATCTTTTTTTCCTAAATAAGTTATCCACTTCTGCTGAACAGAATCTCATATTTCTCATATATCCTACAGAGCTTACCATGATAAAGGACTTAACAGTTGATATTTACAGAAAAGTTATTGTTTGATTATATAACTGAGGTCATTAATAGCCAAAACCTCACCCAGCCCAGGTGGACTCAGTGGTGAAGAGGAACAGTATCCCCTTTCACTTAATCGCTGCATAAGGTCCTAGTGTTCGTGGGGTGGAAAGAGTTGGACAACGCCAAGTCACTGTAGGCAATAAAACTGTGGTTCAGTTTGTTTTACGATTCAGTAGAGGGACAGCCCCATAGCCTAGTGGTAAAAGGAGGCAGGTGCCACATCGCCAACCATGGGTTCGAATCTTGGCCCTGGTGTCTTGAAAAACACATTGGACACATCCTAGAATCCCGATAAGATAGAGAAACAGAGCAGAAGGGAATGCGGCACAACCACAGCCCATCAAGGGGTGCTCTCTCCCTCCCGCTCCTCTTATCTCTCTGTCTCTGGCAAGTGCACAATGCCCTCTGGCAATTTAAGTAAATAAATAAATAAATAAATAAACAAACATTAAAAAAGAAATGCAGTAGAACAAATTTCATAGGTCTGAAATATCAAGAGAAATAGCAAGAAATGAAGTTTCCTGAAGAGTTGGTTGTTTTTAGTTTATTTCCACCTTAAATAATGTGATCTTAGAGCTAGGAAGAGAAGAGAGTAAATCAGTCCTATCTTTTCATAGCAGCTTATTTACTTCAGCCAAAAGAAAAGTTATTTTAATTGCCCAGGGCCAGGGGAATAAAAATGTTTGAATACCCTTCCTCGACAAGAGTAAGAGCTTCATGTGAGCATAAAATACACTTGACGGTTTACACATTTAAGTTTAGAGTTGGGAGTAGAACTTCATGTGTTTGTGCATCAACACATCATAAAGGACGAACGTGACGCCGGATAGCGTTTGAGCACTAGGGAAGAGCAGTGCTGAGGGAGTTTAAACACAGAAGGGTGATTTCCTTTCAAAGAGAAACAACGCCTACTCAAAAATAAGTTGGGAATTCTGTGTTCGGGATTTAGGTTGTTACTCTCATGTTCAGGAATGGTTAAGGAAGGAAAGAGAATCTCAAGGTCACCGGGATTAGTCTTTAGAGTATTCCTATGGGCTTATCTGTGCTCACATGCCTCGTTTTTTTCCAAGTGCAGAGAATGGCCACTTGCTTGAGACAGGCCCAGTGCCATCCTTTATCCAAGTTCCTTTATCCTCCTCTTTTTAAAGAAGCTGTCAAGTTCTTTTTTTGCAGCTGACAGGAAAGGCCAAGTCTGTGGTACAGGAAAGGAGAGGCAAAAAGAAACTTTTTTGTGTTGATGTTTTACTAAGTGAGCTAAGGAGAATTTTAGAATCATGTAATTTACTCTGGAGGCATTTACTGTACATAGCTATAGTGATGGTAATTTCTCTCATTGTTGAAGTGAAAAGATAACCATCAATCAGTTGTCAATTGGTCAATTGCAGAAGTGATGAAAAGAAACTGGTAGGGACAATCACTTCTGTGGCTACCTAGACCGTTTGGAGGCTTAAGAAAAGTATGGGAACTGGATTGCATTTTTAAAAGGAATTGGACCAGATTTTCAAAAAGGTTAATAGCCACAATTTCCTTGTACAGGATGGTTTTGCAGTTAGGCATAATCAAGGAATGCATTTAAAATTGAAAAATGTTAAAGATACGAGCTTAAAAAGTGAAAATTCCTTATTACACTGTGTAACAGGCAAGTAAGGCTCCAAATCCTTGAATTTTGTCATGTTTTTAATAGAGGGATAAAATACAGTTTTCTAATAACCCAATATGTATATTTTGGAACAAATTAATAAAAATTAGTTTGGACTTATGCCTTACTTCCAATCTTAGGCACTTTGAAATAAATAAATTTCCAAGTATTTATCATAAGTAATAGAGAGTCTAAGTTGATGTCTAAGTGTTTTTTTTAAGTAAATAACTACAAATGACTTAATTTTGTAAAACCTATGGAAGCTCACATAAAGTTAAGGCACAAATAAGTTTTAAAATTAATAACTTCCATAAAAGGCAAATGGCACTTTGAGATTTAGTGCTGTAAACAAGATTTCATTTTCATTTACCCTATTTTCCTAAGAATGGCAATGTTATTGATTTATTCTGAGAGAGCTCCCCCCACACACAGTGATTTTTTTTTTTTTTTACTGTGGTAGGTAATAAAAAGGATTACAGGCCCCCAGAAGGATGAGATATCATCAGTTTGTAATCCAGCCCATGGTTTCCTAGATACCGTATTGTCTATTCTGTTCCGCTATGTGAAAAATGTTGAATATCAACAATGGGTTTCAGTGCTGTATTGTTGAGTTTTGTATGAACTAATCTAGCTTCACTAAAAAAAAAAGAAAGAAAGAAAGAAAGAAAATAAAAAAGAAAGGAGAAAAAAAAGAAAAGAAAAAAAAAAGAAAGAACCACAGCTTTGGACAAAAGTCTATAGCCAGTGCATTTGAAACTCCCCTTGCACAAGGACTGACTGTAGCTGTGGGAAGACATTTTCCTCATTTGCTCTCTCCTTGCAGCAGTCAGCTGGTCCCTCTTCTCAGGTGTAAATCACCTATTATAATTTCCCCCAGTTTTGATACTCTGATGAGGAGCGTCCCAGGACTTCTCAGCTGGGGTAGGCCTCACAGGACAGCTGTGTTCAACTCTGGAAGGTAAGCTGTTCGCAGAACTCTCTGCTGTAGTTACTGGCCTAGCTCTAAAACTTCTCAGCATAGCACTTATTTTTAACTTTCACTTTTTTTTCTTTTTTCTTCTTTTGGAGAAAGAAAGCCTGACAGGTTTCTCCGGAAACGTGACCATCCACGGAATGAATGAAATGTTCTCTTTCTATTCCAGTAAGTAATTGACTTGTAACTAAAAATTGAACTGGCTGCTATGTCAACTGCAGCGTGAGCGGCTGCTGGCACAGGTGCTGCTACTCTTTAGTCTGGAGGAAAAAAGGGGCTTAAACTGTGATTAAATTTCAAGTCAATTGACCTCAACATGATAGTCCCTAATTCTCACTCGCCTACCGAATGGCCTGCGTTCTCACTGTGACCCTGATTCTGGCACCTGTGTTTTGAGTGTTTGGTGTTGCTAACGCTGGGGCTGCTCTTTTGGGTAGAAATAAAGTGGGTGGAGAATAGTTCCAAGTAAATAACAAATGGTGGTGAGGCAACTAAGTCTTTAATCCAGTGCTCAGTATTTCTTTTCTTTTTAATGCATTAATTTTAAGTAAGTGTAAATTATTATTTACCTTTTATTTTTAAAAAGTATGTGTTCATGGACAATAATTTTATTGACTGCTAGAGAGATGCACTTAAATCCAAACTGGTAAGGCATAAACAAGCCAAGGATCTGAGAATTTCTATGTTAACTGCTTTCAAATGCTTAACTTTGCTTCATCTAACAGATCATAAGCTAACTATTCTTTGCACCTAATGGTTTCTGAGCTCTACGAATGAAATAGCAGCACTGTTTTCCTAAGTTTCTGTAAATAGAATGAAACTCTACTTGACTGTCATAAGACAGCTCTGTTTGAGTTTTGAAGACAAACCTGTATCTACTTCCCAGAAGCAAAATAAAAATCAATGACAACTAAAATTACCACTTACACTTGAAGCTATTCTCCATTCGTGTTATGTAAAGTGGTCGCATGCCAAGAGTCGGTCTATAGGATGAGAGCAGCAGGGACTGTGGGGCTTTCCCTAACTGCCTTTAAACCTGGGAATTAGAAGAACGTGCTGATGGTGCTTGCTTAACCCTGCTTTTAGTGCCAGGCTGTGCTAGCTCTCTGTGAGACCATTTCTGACCCTCTGCTTGCAGTGGCGGGCCTGGATTTTTCCCCTTCCTTGCCCATCACTGTCAGTCAATTATAGGATTGAACTGAACCAGAAAATCTGGTGCAGTCTGGTAATTAGTACAAAGGGTTTCCAGTCTAGTGTAAAGACAGAGATGCAAGAGCCCCAGCAGTCACAGAAATCGTTTTGATTGGCCACGGACATCGCCTTTTAGTGCTGCTCGGTGACTTCCTAAAGATATTGCCTCCTACCCTACAGGTCTTCTCCTTCAAGTACATTATGGGCCTTTTTAAAAAAGTCATGTGTGTGCGTGAATGTGTGTGTGCGTGTGTGTGTGTGTTTCTTTTTTTAGATCCAACTTCTCCCATTTTTAGTCTGTCATTTTTGCCTATCAAACAGACACATTTTGACTTGCCCAACAAAGAACCAAGTTATCAACACTCACAGAAACTGACATTTTTAATTCAGGCTTCATTATGTCTTTGAATTATGACAGTGAAGTACAAAGACATTTTAAGGATTTTTTTCATTATTTTTTTTAATCCAGCATTGGGATGTTTATCTTTCTTTAGTGTTCATATTTCCCTTTCTACCTTTATTCTCAGTAATATATAATTAGCATTATCAAAACCATCAGCTATTATCCTCTCCGACTTTTGACCTTTATTGTATTTATTTATTTATTTATTTATAGTATGTCTGAAGCTAGCATTCTCTAATAAAAACTACGTAAGAGATTTTAATGGTACTATATTAGGGTTATTAAAACAATGAAACCTTTTAAAACATGAGTCCCCATTACACATCAATATTTTTACAGGATCAGGCAAGTAGCAGGTCCTATAATAAAACAATAGCAGCAAAAGGCATTTTCGGAAAAATTATTTTGCAAATCAAAATTGCATTTGATGATAAGTACAAAGTGTAAATATACACTATAATTACAGTAGATATTTTAGCATACATTTTTTACCACTACTTTGGACTTCCTGGCTTATTATCGATGTTATATCTGGATAAATTTTATATAGATATAGATATAGATACAGATATTTGTAGAAACAAATATTCTCTTAGATGATAGATTACAATGACCAATCAGTCTTATACAGTGTAAACATTTGGTAACTTATCAATATTATACATGTCTTCTCCTTGAAAGATATAAACATGTATATTTAAGGGTAAATTTGATGTCTGATACTCTGTACAAAATTGTAAAAACAATGGTATCAAGCTAAAAGAAACAAAAGAGAGCAAGGCTTTTCATTAATAATACTACCCTTAGAACAACCTGCATTATAATTTTAGCTGGGATGCTTGTATGTTTTGAATCTTACAAAGGACTCTTTATTTACCTATATCTTAATGTAGCTTTAAATATCTGTTTTATCTTATGTACAATCTTAGCAAGAGTAGTTACATTACCATGTCTGGTACTGATTCCTACATGGCTGACTTTGCTATTAAATTTCAAGAAGGTTAATATTGCTTTTGTAACCCTGTCGTGAGTAATGCATTTTCCCAGTAAACATGTCATAATTTTCAAGGCTGTTCAAGAAGCAGTATTTCTGTTGAAATAGTTTTGTGTTCATTTCTCTATTGTTTGTAAGCATAATATAGTGTAATGCTTTGAGGAGAATACGCATATTTATGTAATTAACACTTTTTTGTTTTTAGTAAAACCTTGCCCATTAAAAACTAAGAGGGTCTCAGGAAACTATATAAATGGGCAAATTTTCAGGAATAATATTTGCATTTAATTTTAACTTGCCACCAAGTTTATATGTTGAAATGTACTCATAGAATGACTGAAGAGTCATCCTCCTAATGTTTTTCTTATTTTTTTAATCTAAACTGTACATTGAAATTCAGAAAGCACTTGCCCCATGTAGCATGGCATGTTCTGTATTCTCTGGTAGCTGAATGGATCTGTGTATACTTACAAGAATACGCAGGACTTAATATGGGCACAGACATTCTTTTCTATTTCAGACTTACTCCTGCTTTTATTCCTAGAGGCAGGAGTAAGGCTTGAAAACAACCCTAATGATGACCATGGCCCCATAGTTTTCAAACTATGTTCCCCTGAACTCCTAGGGCTTTAGGGGACACAGAGCAGTCAGAGACGGGCAAGTGGCCATCCTGTCCCCTTGACCCAAAGCATTTCTGTGTTATCTTCCATGCAAATTAGAGTTCCATGTGAAATTTATTTATGAAAAACCCATGCTGGAGGTCAAAAGGTGAACTTACTGGCTAAAGTCACCTTATAGATGAGAAAAGCAGGAGTTACCCAAGGTGGCACACTGAGTCAGTGACAATGTCAGTTTTGTAACCTAGTGTCTTAGCACTTATTCCTGAGCTAAGCCTATGAAACTACTATCGACCTTCCCCACACAGTTGTGGGTCTTTTTGTGTAGGCATTCTAAAGTATACCACCAAAATCACACCTAAGAGATCCGTAGCCCTATGTTCAAAATCAGGGTGTTTAGCAAAGATGCGGGGTGTAGGCGGTAGAGGCTGCTGAGTAACACGGTGTAGACTAAATCAAGCCCTTTATTTGACAGCACCATTCATTCTCAATGCATTATTGTGGCCATTAGCTAAAACATCACTGTATTTTCACTATTAGTAAAGTAATAGCTTGGAAGATTTTTTTAAAAATTATAATTGTTGTAACACAACACCCCAAAAAAATTTTTTAACCAGCTTTACCATTCTTAATCATTCTGTGGTATTGGCTTGAGGTATTTCTCACAATGGAAAATAATAATTAGGACTTAAATTTAAAAGAAAGGAAATAAAGCTAAAATAAGATGCCTATTTTCTCAAAACATGTTTATGGAACACTGTTCCCCCAAGCTATGCCAAGTAAAAGGTAGCATGGTCAAAGAATTTTGGATAATGTACCATGCTGTGTCCTGCTCCAGGAAATTCACACTGAAAAATTATGCTTGGCAAAATTATGATAAATCATCAATACCTCTTTGAACTTAGTATAGTATAGAGTATTCCAAACTGTTTTTCTATAGGTTCCCACCACCACTTTTTCAAAAAAATCTATTTTTATTCTTCAGGGCTAATATTTTATGGAACTTTAGGAAATTTTTCTTTAATCAAATTTCTATAGATTTAAAAAAGAGAGAGAGAGAGAGAGACCTGTAAAGTAATGCTTATTTATTACATAACTGGCTATGTTTACCGACCCTTCATTTTCATGTTGTGGATTGTAAATCCTATTAATTCAATCACTTAGCAAATATTTAACCACAGTGCTAAGTGCTGGGAATACAGTAATGAGTAATTCAGTCAGAACCCCTGACCTTACAGAGCTTACAGTCCAGGAAGGCAGTAATTACAACTGCTCTGGTGAAAAAAAAGAAAGAAAGAAAAGCAGGAAGAAACTATTAGAGAGAGGAAGGAAAAGAGAAGAAGAAACGAATACAGAAGTGCAGGCAATATTAGCAGTCTCTGGCACTCATAGCTTATCTGTCATTTGTCCTGTTTCTCCTAATTTTAAAATGAGAGGAGAGAGAGAGAAAGAAGACCATCAGTCCAGATGGCTACAGTTCAGTCTTTACATAGAGATAGCCCAGGATATTTTCCGGATATCTACTTACTCGTCAGTTATTAGACCTTCGATAGTTCTGTAGGAAAAGATGCGCTTCTCTTCTGTAAAGAGGAGGGAGATGGGAAGTAAAGGAGAGGAACAAATGGGAGAAAGTGAGGAAAGGAGGAAGAAAAGGGAAAAAGAAGCCACATTTCCTGGTCTCTCCGACTGTGTTTTTTGTTTTGTTTTGTTTTTTTGCTATAGGGCGCGTGCACTAGCCAGAAAGACAGAGAGAGACAGAGAGACAGAAAGCAAGAAATCTCTCCCCAGGGGGGATGGCCACACTGCAATCCCTTCTCCTCCATTCTCCTCTCCGGATCTTGGGCACACACGCACACGCACCCAGTGTGAGTTTAAGCCACCAGGTCCAGGGCTCGAACCACAGTCAACTACATGGGAGTTCAACAACATAACCATTACGCTAACTGCTGGTCCTCTGACTGTGGTTTTTTTAAGCT